TAGGTCACAAAAGGCTGCAGATGTCAAACTGTTAGTCTCTAAATTTTGTTGTATACAATAATGGGCATACTTATGTGCATACAGTCACATGCACAATATTTCTGAGTAATCAAAAGTACAAAAGTAATCAGAGGTGCAAAAAGTAACATAGACATGCTTTCTTTTCTTATCACATTTTAATGTGGATAGAAATTAAAATAAAGAAAGAAGTAATATGCTGGATCAAAATACTGGGGAAAAAAATTAACAAAGGCATTATTTGGTTTTGGCTATTTCTTCTGTTTCCCCCCCCCCTTCCCAATTGTTTCAATCCAGATTAAGACTTTCTCCTTCTGGAACACTTCAGTTTGCAAACCATGTAAGAAGAATAACAACCCAGAGAACTGCATAGCTGTGACCGGTGGTTCAAAGTGTAACCTCATTCTTCCTTTGAGAAGTACAATTCAGGCGCAGGTTTCAAAGCTTTATCTTTCTGATCCCATCAAACAATGCTTCGATCCTAGCTTGTAACTTCCTTTACCTCTTCAGAGAATGTCTTTCCCTTATGACATGCAATGAACAATAAAGCTTCCACACAATCAAGACTGTTCTGTTTAATGCATTACAGGTAGTCCTCAATTTATGACAATTCCGACCAAACTTTATGTTGCTAAGTGAAGCATTTGTTGAGTTTTGCCCGTTTTACGACTTTTCTTGCCACAGTTATTAAGTGAATTATTGCGGCTGTTAAGTTAGTAACCCAGTTGTTAAATGAATCTGGCTTCCCCATTGATTTTGCTCGTCAGGTTGCAAAAGATGATTGATCACATGATCCCGGGGCACTGCAACCATCATAAATATGAGCCAGTTGCCAAGCATTTGCCCCATGACCATGGGGATGCTGCAATAGTTGTGTGAGAAACAGTCATAAGTCACTTTTTTCAATGCCGTGGTAACTTTGAATGGTCACTAAACAAACTGTTTAGTGTAAGACGAGGAATACCTGTACTTGAACCAGCCTCTGCCTCCCACTAGTTGGCTGGTCCTCTGCTTCTGAGGATTATACTACTCTCCTAGCCTAAAAATATACTTCAAAAACAATTGTGATCTTCTTTCTTCCAAAATAAGCCAATGGCTAGAACACATCAGTGGCCATTTTTTTTAAACTGCAAACTTTAAGAAGTCACGAGTATGTCAAACTGTAAATATATTTGTATCTGACTTTTTCTTGGCACTTAACATAAAGTGTTTGACACTGACATTAAATCTATTACCATTACCCTATTTGACTCCTCTCTGTGCTCTGATTCTGTAACAAAATACTAGTGCTAAAGTTTATATCGGCAGGCTGCCAGACTGAAAAAATTGGGCCATTCTTCAGCCTGGCTTGGTACATCTTTGTTTCAAGGAATTAGATGAAACGTTTATAACAGAACAGAATAACAGAGTTGGAAGGGACTTTGGAGGTCTTCTAGTCCACCCCCTACTCAAGCAGGAAACCTATACCATTTCAGATAAATGGTTGTCCAACCTCTTTAAAACCTCCAAAGTTGGAGCACCCACAACTTCTGGAAGCAAGCCATTCTACTGATTTATTGTTCTGTCAGGAAATTTCTCCTTAGTTCTAGGTTGGTTCTCTCCTTGATTAGTTTCCATCTTGTTATATGAAGCTAGGGAGTTCCACTGGTAGTAATGATTTGTTGGATCAGATCCTTTGGCTCAATGTTTTTCAGAAAGCAGGTGCTTAGTTTCATTGGCTGGCAAATCACATATGCTCTACTCACATTTGCCAATGGCAGTTCATGTACTCTGTGAATAACAGGGGAAGTGATAGTAATATTATTGGTAAAGAAGAAAGCACCAGAAAGTGGCCCACTTTATCTAGATGATGACAGTATTCAAGGGAGGAATATCTCAGCAATACAGTATGTGGTTGACATAGAGAAAATACCAGGCTCCATTAAATAGCAGTGCCTTGAGCAGCCACACCCAACTGAAGAGCTTTTCCCAATTCAGGAGGAAATGAATAGATTAGTTAAAACAAGGGTGTAACGAAGTAGTCTTATCTTCATAAGCAGCAAACAGGCATTAGCTGAACATTAAATGCGAGATCTCAAATAGGGTACCCGTATAATGCATCCAAAGCCATCATTCTTAAAGGTAAAATTTCATACTTTGCAACAAGACACATCACCTTGTTTGAGCCAAAGATCTTTCAGTGATGAAAGGCTTAGTTCAGTGATGAATATAACTGTAATAAAATTAAATACTGATTATCACTCTATGTATATTCAGTAATTTTCAAAAATTTTGAAGGGAGCTGGGAGCTGCATCATAGACTTTAGTGGAATACATGAAACCCTCAAGTTGTACACCAATGCATTTACGAAAATATCCCATATGTGTTCTCAATATTGCAGACAATAAGGAATGGACTTTGAAGAAACAAGAAACTGATTGATGCTTTTGAACTTTGATGTAGAAAACTGCTGAGAACCCAATGAACAGCCAAGAGGGGAAAAAAAGACCATTGAACAAAACAGTCCAGAATTTTCACTCAAGACATAAATGACCTGGCTAAAATTATCCTACTTCAGACTCTGAAGGACCTAACTCTTTAGAGAAGATTCTAAAGAAGGGAAAAGTTTAAGGAAACAGAAGATGAGGACATCCAGCAACAAGGTGGATGGACTCAATTATAGTGGTGATGAGTATACCATTGGAAGACAAGACCTAAAGGACCAGGTTAGGGAGAGTTCGGAAAAAAAATTACCAATGTGGTCACCAAAAGTCAATGCTGACTTGATGATACATAATCAATCAAGCAGACAAAATTGTGAGGACTTTTGGCTTCCTAACACTGTTAATAATCTGTATGCAGCAATATTTAAACTGAGGACCTTCTAGTTGTATAGAAACAGAATTATGGAATTGGAAGGCACTACATGAATCATTTAGTTCAACCTTCTGCAATGCGTAAAAACAAAACAAAACAAAACAAAACAATTAAACCATCCTTGAGAGGTGGTAGTCCAGCTTCTTCTTAAAAACCTCCAGACATAGAGAATTCACAACTTCGGCAGGTTAATTTTTCCATTATGCACAGATCTTAGGAATCAGGATTTTTTCCCCTTATCATTACGGAAATTCTGGAAAAGTAAAAGGTGGCAGGCTCTAACTAAATCATGTCAGACTCATCAGAGCAATGAGCTTTGTGAAAAGCTGAGATAAGAACAGCTGCCCATCAAGAAAAAAAGCCAGGCCTGACTGAACTATCCCAGATCTAGACAATACACATTAGAATTCTGAACAGAACATATGTAAGTAGAAATCTGGCAATTGCCATTAACACATGCAATTAATTTTGTTACATTTAACCAATGCTGGGCTACCCATTACTCTTTCAGATACAAATAAATGAACAAAGAAAAGTTTAAGTTAAAAGCAAAATAATCTTTGTAACACAAAAGGACAGCTTTTATCTACTAATTGGGCTTGAAAAGTTCAATCAATAGTGGGCTTAGATGCAATTATTGGTCTGTATAGTCCTCAATGGTCTATTCTTCCTAATGGCAACTCCTGGAAGAGATTTTTCTTATTAGCTGCTATCTCAACTTTTTAATTTAACTGATAATACTAAGGATTGAACCTAGAACATTCTGAATGAGAATAATTTTCAGCTATATCACTAAATCTTTCCAACCACAATTTGCATTTGTATAAAGAACTGTGTCTGAATCCTACCAGTCACATGTGAATTAAGATTCTATAAGTTAAAAAAAAACATTATTTGGCTTCTAAAGAACATTATGTAGTCTCTCTCCTGCCACAGCCGCTCTATTCCACTAAACTATATTCAGCAAAATCCTTGGTGACTTAACTGGAAGAGCTTCAAAGGCATTTGTTCATATAAATAATGATAGATATAGTAGTAATTCAGGAATTCTATGTATTTTCTTTTTGTCTCTTCGAGTCAGCCTTGATTCCTGGCAACTGCCTAGACAGATCTCTGTAGTTTTATTGACAGGATTTCAGAAGTGGATTGGTATTGTCTTCTTCCTAGGACTGAGAGAGTAAGACTCAAGGTCACTGCCCAAAACAGAACTACAACTGGTCTAGATATCCACTCTTCCGTTTTCTAGCTCGACATCTAAACATTACACCAGACTGGCTCTATATGATTTGTACATATTTTATATGCTATTGGTGGACTACTTGAAGGATCCTTTCATCTTTTTAGAAGATGCCATTCTCCTCCCCTCATACCTAAACGGAATTAGACTACTAGAGTATGGAGTGCAACTTCATTTTGTAAAGAGGCAGGCATTGTGAGGTAAAACCTCACTCAGGCTTGTCAGGTTCTCTTCAGTTCTTCAATGTCTTTAAAGTGTTTCCTCTTCAGAAGTGGTTGTTATATCCACCTTGCCACACCTACTTTTGAGTTAAGGTACACTGAACATGGATTGTTACAGGTACAGTATATTTCCATCTTAGCAAAGTATATTCATGAACAATTTGAGCTATAATCAATAGGGCCTCTATGAAAACAGTATAGATTTTTCCTAAAATCTAATACAATCCATTTGCACAACACTCTACTCTTTGGTGGATTAATGTCTTACATACTGTAAATCTGGACTCGAGATATTCTTTAAAGATTATTAACAGAGAATATGTTCCTTTCAATAACAACTTACAGACCACTTTTTTTTTCTATTTTACAAAGCTGCAAAGCGGTAGCGTATGCATTCCAAAATACATCTGGGTTTTGTCTCATTATGTCTGGTCAATGTTTGGCATAGCCAAATGGGTATGTGTTTTTTGCTACAAAGCACATGATTAAAGACAAGCAAATTCATATAGAAGTGGTTCCTATTTTTGTAAAAGACTTTATAAAGGGTGGTGTTTATTGTACTAACGCACTAACCCGGTAACCCCTCCCTATTTAAAGGCAGGTTTGACTGACGGAATGCTTCAAAAGACAGAAACCCCTTTTGAGTTGCCTATTCTTTTGTATTCTTTATATATATATATATATTTAATAATTCCACAAAATACAAATTTATTCAGTGAGGAAAGTCCAAGTGTGTTGTTCTTTTTAAAAATGGTAAGGACACTGTGCAATACTTCCATTTGCCAGATGCCCTCTCCCTCAGCCAGCAAACTAAGAACCTCAGTTTATAGCCATGCAGCAGAAACATAAAGAGGTACTTCAGAAATAGGAATCCAGACTGCAAGTCCTGACATTTATAGATGCAAAGAAGTGCTCCTGGATGCAGGAGGTATATTTGGGTAAGGCTGAAGCCCCATCTGTTTGTTATCTTTCAGTTTTTGGACTATGATTCTAGCGACGTCCTCTCCTTGACTGTCAGTAGTATCAAGCAGTTGCCTGACTCTTGACGTCCTTGTAGGTTTGGTGTTAACAAGTTCATAATCCTCTTTCATGATTAAATCCCTGGAAAGAAGGGCATCTAAACACTGGTTAATGCAAGTGTCAGTCATCTGATGGACAATATCCTCTCTTTTAGTTTGGATCCAATGAAGAGCTACAGCGAAATCTTGTGATTGCGTAGTCCTCAATATAAAGTCTAATATAGAGAAGGAAAGAAACAACAAAATCTGACTCAGTCCTAAAAGAAAAATAACATCAATCTACACAGAGCAACTTAAGAGAAAAGAACATATTTTCCTATTTTTTTTAGATAACAGTATACTTCAAAACTACCACATTTCCTTTCACCCTTATTAAAATAAAAGCTGTGTTCTCCCATTATTCACTACATACTAGCTCTTCCTTCAGCACCTCAGCACGTCCTTAATTGTGTTATCTACCATTTTATCACATCTGGAGACATAGCCATTGCTTTAAGACGATGGCCAGTTATGATCAAATGCATTTGAAGGTGAAAGCAGGTAAGACAGACCATACATATTGTTGCAGTGTGAAAATCCCAAACTTTAGATTAATGTTTTACCTAAATATTAGGGTCACATAAAACATTTGGAGACTGTTCTTCAGAGTTATTAAGCAGATAGTGTGTTTCAGTGTGTCCCACACTTTGAAGTCATCTCCAACATGAAAGAGACGATCCTGGCAGAAATATGTCCACACTTTCCGGAAACAAATGCCTTCTGTACATGTACCTCCAAATGTTTTGTACAACATAGCTTACACAAAGACTATTTTTTCCTGATTAGTTATGTTTTTTTTTGATGTTCACTTCATTTTTTATTCTACTTATTTTGTTCTAAACACCCTTTTAAGGAACACATTTTTAATGTTATTTAATATTATAAATCAAGATATCAGAACATTAATTATAATCCTCATTGTTTAAAGCAATCACAAACTCTGCAGCGACGTGTAGATTCTGTTCAAAAGTTCTACCTTCTCTATAGTTTCCACTTTCTTCCATACTCGTAAACTGTGTATAAGCTGAAACCATAAAATGATTTAATAGTTCCAGTATACTACTATCTGAAGAATTCTATTTCTGATCAATCCTTGTGATAGACAGTATGTACAGTGCTACCAAGAAAAAAAATAGTTAAGTTTTCTTTTTATAAATTCCCCCATAAAGTAACTCTCACAAAGATGTAAAAGAGAATAATGCATGCACACTTGTAGAACCTGTGTTATTCTAGAGATCTGATCCAGTTATATAATAAAACAAACTGATCATGAGTAGGATTCAAAACTCTCAGCTGCATACCTGGATTAGCTCCCGATAGCTGCAGCAAACCTGGTGTGGAATTTGACGAATTAGAACTATCTGTGTTAGATGAAGAACTTTGTTGAGATACATAAGACTCAGTACTCTGAGAGCGTGGAACATAACTGAGCAGCGAGTGTGGTTCATCCTTAACTATCACAAAAGAAAAGCATCTTATTAATTTAATAAAAAAAGAGTAAAAATAAAAACAAAGCACAAAATAAATCCAGAACTACTCCGTCATTTACCTATAAATTACCTAACATTCCAGCCACGCTGCAAACACAACCAGTAGATTGATTTCTCTCATTATCCTAACAGATAACATCAAACATTATTTTCTATCAACCTAAAAGCACTTTTGTTCTCCTGAAACATAATCTGGTATCTTCCAAATGTGTTGCATTGTACAGTATGGCTGTTGGTAGTGCAGTTGGCAATGCTGCTCAGAGATGAGACCAGCTGCAGCCCAATGGGTCTAGGAGTACCAGGTTAGTATAGGTACTTGCTTCTTCTTAAAAGAATGGCCCTGCAATCAAATTCACAAATCAGAAAGGCAGGATATACTAGAAGGAAAGACAAATGGATTGAAAAAGAAAGCAGGGAGATCAAGGCCACAATGAAATGTTAAACATAAAGTGATTGATATTTATAGTTGCAACCAATTTTTTTATTTTTTGTGGTATTTTTTTTTCTGCTAGAAAACTAAATGTTGCATCTTGGCATAGTGAGACTGAACTTACTTTTAAATCTACAGATCTAGGGTAAATCTATCTTTTATTACACAATTTGATTTTTATTTAAAACAATATAGTTGGAATCTATCTATTTACCCACATAATACTTTAAAAAGAATATTGTTTATTGATACTGATTATTGTAGAATACAGGTAGTCCTCGACTTACGACCACAATTGAACCCAAAATTTCTGTTGCTAAGACATTCATTAAGTGAATTTTGCCCCATTTTACGACCTTTCTTGTTATAGTTGTTAAGTGAATCACTGCAGGTGTTAAATTAGTAACACAGTTGTTAAGTGAATCTAGTTTCCCCATTAAATTTGCTTGTCAGACGGTTATAAAAGCTGATCACATGACCATTATAAATATGAGTCAGTTGCTAAGTGTCTCAATTTTAATCACATGACCATGGAGAATGCTGCAATGGTCATAAGTGTGAAAAATGGTCATAAGTCACTTTTTTCAATGACATTGTAACTTTGAAAGGTCACTAAATGAACTGTCATAAGTCAAGGTCTACCTGTACTAGTGTTCAGTCTAAAATATCCTGGATATCTGTTCAACTCTCTGTTTTGGTTCAATTCATTATTAACATTCTGTGAACCAGAGAGACACTATCTTGTTATGCTGTATCCATAAGAGGTGAGGGGTCCTTGGTGCTCTCTGAGCGTGGTTATTTTCTTGCAGATGTTTCCTTACCCCAACTAAGTAATATCATCAGTGCTAGTCTGATGACTCTAGCACTGATAAAGTTGCCTACTTTCGGTAATGAAATCAATCAAGCTCAGAGAGTACAAAGGATGCCTCATTTCAAATCTAAGCTGCAAATATTCTCCTTTATTGGTATCCATAAGAGGATTATGTAATTGCCACTAGTAAACTTCAATTGTGTGCAGAGGACATACCATCTGAAAGGAGGTTGCATGGTTTTGATATATTCTGGGGAACACTTGATGGATAAGATTGATCATCTTGGGATGAACAGGAATTCTGGAAAGGATAGAATCACATGGAACAAAGATTTTTGGTTTAATTTTTTAATTGGTAAAATTTAGCAAACAAATACAATGACCACAAAATGCACTAGTGATTATTTTTAAATTCCTATTCACATATCAGTAATTAAAATAAACACACACAAAAAAGAAAAACTTACTATAAAATTCTATATAGTATCAATTTTGTTTCAACATGGGATTAGTTTAATCTTTAAACTCATAATGGGGCCGCAATACTAGCTGTCCAGAGCCGCATATGGCCCATGGGCTGGACATGCCTGAAGTACATGAAGTAATGGATTGACTCCATGTGCCCCACATATATGAAACATCTTGTTTTTTTTCTCTGCACATTTTTCCTATGCAGTATGAATCTAGTAGGACATATTTCTGAACAGAAATAGCATTGAAGATTTCTGAATGGTACCCTTAATATCATTAATTCTACTTTATATTGAGGTCTGAGGGCATATAGAATAATTTTACTCATTCTTATGGCTTTCAAATTTGTTTAGGTTGAATTTTTCAGAATGTATAATCAATATAGCTAAAGTCTAATCTGTCTGAGGGTGCCAGGAAAGCTATTTTAAAATGTTGCATTCATACCAAAATTGTTGGTTATAAATACTACACACAATCACTAATTGCCACAGCTATATTGTAGTTCATTTAGAATGCAGCAAAAGTACTGCAAAGATTTTTGGTGAAAACTAAAGCTAAATTCATTGTACAATTCCTGCATATAGCTCTTCATCAAGGGACATCATTTTCCCAGCCTTAAATAATGATACGCCCCCCCCACACCCATAATGAAAGAGCACTGTCACTTGCCTTCAAATTTCCACATAAAAATTACCAATGTTCTTTTATTTTTTGTCATTTTATTAATAACAAAATGACATAAATTATGTCTATACTTTTAATTAATGACAACTCTGTGAGGAACATCTCACTGAGAGAATGTGACTAGCCCAAAGTCACCCGGGAAAACTTCCATGGCCAATGGTGCACTTGAACCCAAGATTTCCAGGCCTAACCCAACATTAATAACTGTATAGATTCTCTACCACTGTTATTGCCATTAAATCAATTCATTATGCCTATTCTCTGATTCTACAGGGATATTCACCAAATTCAGGGTCAAATTAAAGGTTGATCCCTAGTATGATCAAAGACTGAGGTGAAATTGTATCACCTTTTTACATGGTTATTTGCTCTTCTCCAAATGTCTGTGGTGTATCTCTGTGAATGCATGCAAGTGATTTCCCCAATGGGAAAAGCCATTTTTTCTTCCTTTAAGAACCTGTGGGAAGGATGCTGTATTTTAAAAGTGATGCAAATTCCCATCTGTCCCAAATTAGGTAGGTAACATAGCAGGAGGCAGCCTAAAATCACTTGATAATGATGTAAAGTTTCTCTCCCCATCCCCTTCCCAAAGAAAACTAAAAAAAATATGTTTTTGGCTATCTGATCTTTCAAGGACGAGCCCTACCCCAAAGTTCAGAGATTTCCACACAGGCATTTCCTAAACCCTTTCTAGAGATGCTGGGGGTTAAACAGCACAGAGAATATCAGCTACTGGGTGACTGAAACGACCCTGAATGTTAGATATCTTTCACTGTCTTCAACAGAGGAATGTATTATTCATGCAAATATTATATGGTTTCTGAAATGATACTGAATTATAAGTGCTGGAAGATCTATTTATTTCAAGGAAGACAACAGTGGTCCGAAAACATGACACCTCTCTATGCCTACATGTTATCTCAGTTTCACCCTTTGGAAGCTATTCTTTTTAAAATTCATATCTATTCTGTGGCATTCAAACATGGAGAAGGTGTCCCTCTGTATCATAGTATGGTAAGCAGGAATCTGTAATTACCCATGTTGGGCATTTGCCATTTATCAGAGTTTATCTCCTGCCTTGAGCGGATATATGAATATGCTAATTTATAGGTGTGCCTATGATTAGCATAGTATAAAATTGTTAGCTATCCCCTGAAAGAGCCTCAACATAGGTCTGAAATGCTGAAAAATGCTGTATGTTTATCCTTGGCATTGTTTAGCTCACTATAAATCTTTGCATCACTGGATGAGACTTAATGTGTTCCAACTTCCAACCCAATATAGTTTACACATGAAATAATCTTATGTATTCTCTCTGACTCTCTACAAAACCAACCACTGATCTTTGGCAAAAAAAAACACAACAGTTTAAGAATATTAAGGTGTTTATGTTAATAATAGAAAAAAAATGTTTTACCTCTTGTATACTAATGTTCAGTGGTATATTTAAAGATATTGATTCATTACTGCATATCTTGTTAGGCAAATGAATGCATGTCCACTCATACTGTGCCTGAAAGAGATATCAGCATAAAACAAAATGGTGTTATGAAATCAAAGCATAATTATGAGATAAAATACCCAAGTGTCCTGCATCTGAGTAAGAGCACAATTTGGGACATGTGCTTACCCACAGCCAACTGCTTGCAAAGATTTTTATTGTTTAACACAGCAATAAATAAATTTATTCTATCAATAAACAATAAATAAACAATAATGTATGTTTATATTATATACATATATTAAACTATAATAATACAAATAAACAATACATAAATAAATGAACAGGATATCCCTTTAGCTCAGTGTTTCTCAACCTTGACAATTTTAAGGCATGTGGACTTCAACTCCCAGAATTCCACAGCCAGCAATGCTGGCTGTGGAATTCTGGGAGTTGAAGTCCACATGCCTTAAAATTGTCAAGGTTGAGAAACACTGCGAGCTAAACATGCTTACAGTTCTATCTGCGATCAGGCATCCGAACAGGGCAGTTTTCTGATTACGTATATCTCAATGGACTTACGATCCCATAAGACCCCATATATCTTAGCATAAGTCAGCCTGGGCGAGTGAACATTCTGTATATGATTAATAGAGCGAGAATTCTAGCTTCAGATATATGGATGTCCTGTTTCTTTTTGGGAATAAATTCTACTCATAACAGATTATAATATGAGCACTTACTTTGGCCCTCTTTATCTCTACTACTGCTTCAAGCATAGGTATCTCTTCAAAGGTCCTCATCACAGATTCTAGATCTATTAAGCACCCTAAACAAAGACAGTCACTATTAGGTCTCTTAACAGAACATTTAAATTATGGAAATTACATTCCTGAAAAATATTTTAAAACATACTCCCTAAGGCCAGTTTCAAGGATGTCAAAACCAGCTATTCCTGGGTAAAACTAGCTATGCTGGTCACATAACTATGGAAATTATCTTCAGCCAAGGAATGGAGGAGAGCACCGTGTCCTAGAGTCGGACACAACCGAGAGGGAAACCTTTACGTTTCTTTACTATATTTCCAGACTATGAAGTCTGGAAAAACTACAGTTAATTTTAAAGGGAAAAAAAAGATAAAGTAATTAAATTTTTCAACTTTTGCACTAAATATTGAAAAGAGAAGGTGAAGTGGAAAGCTACACAGGCGGGTTATAACCTCATTTGACAATCTTAAGATATTTTTTGTTGCAATTTGTTCTTTTGAAAGAAAAACAACTCTTATTAGAATCTTCAAAATGTCCATATTTTGGTTGAATAATATTTGCAATTAAATATAAAAGGCAACCACCGGTACATTTAAATTTTAAAATCTGAAACATTAGGCTCATTGCATGTTTTGGAACTGTAGTTTTGACATTATTTCACATAATTACTATTTTAATGAGCACTTAATGCTGGTTAAAATTCAGTATGTTTCCATAAACCTATGTTACAATGTAATAATGCATTATTTCAGATACTACATGACCTAAACTGAAACTATTACATGAACCTTGCTTATATCTGATTCAGAGTAAAGTGACTCTTAACACAGAAGTTAAGAAATCAAATGTTTTTGATTTTAAAACTTTCCAGAATTTTCATAAAAAAGTTCCTGTCATACCATATTCCAAAACCTGGCAAAAGATTTAAATCCCTTAAATCTTAAGAAAGTATCTCTCACCAAATTATTATTATTTGTTATTATATTTATTATTTACTTTCACCAAAACTGAAAAAAAACAAGATTAAGATTTCAGGTATCTCCTGTTATAATTTAAAACAATGACTTTTAGAGTTTTCCTTCTTAATGAAGAGAAAAAGAAATACTGAATGAACACACCAAATCACAATCTACATAGTATATGATATGATTTTGAGTGCATTTCAGTGCAGAATAACTGGCATACAATGTTTGCTGAGTGCTATCTGATAGACAGAACAGGAACCAGGAAATATCAGGGTTAAGAATTTGCGTGCAACGAACACATTAGATGGCCTTAGGTAAAATAGTATGCTGCGACCTATGGGAAGAATAATATTGACATGTTCACTCTCTTCAGTCATTCTAAAATTGGATAGAGATCAGGCTACAATACAGAAACAACGCTTCCATTCAAACACAGGTGTACAGCATAAAAAAAAAATCAAGGTCCCAGATCCTACAGACAGCTCTATTTCGGTTCATCCAATTACAGAAAGCCTCTCCTTCAGCTAAATGCATGAAAACTGGGAAGAGAAGAAAATCACAGTTCCACTCTTCATCTATTTGGAACTGCTATACCAGGGGTAGGCAACCTTGGCTCTTTTATGACTCGTGGACTTCAACTCCCAGAATTCCTGAGTCAGCATAGCTGGCTCAGGAATTCTGGGAGTTGAAGTCCACGAGTCATAAAAGAGCCAAGGTTGCCTACCCCTGTGCTATACATATGCAGGTGAATGGCTGGAGGTTGTAAGAAACTTCCTAATACACTGAAAACATTTCTTTATTATGTACCGTTTTTTTTGTCAAGAAAAGCCCATCTTTAAGGCCATAAATAGCAAATATATATATATATCAAAAAGTGAGAAAAAGTGAGTATAATATAAAAATTGTTCTAGATTTTTCTAAGTCTAGAATACTGACATTTTTCTGATTTGTATGCCAATATAAAATACATGAATATACGTGGTCCTCAATTTACCACCAGTTGCTTAGCAACTGTTGAAGTTATGACTGACATGAAAAAGGGAGTCCAAGAACTGGATGTGACGTGTTAGTCACATGACTGAACTTTGAGTGCTCAACAACACGGTTACGGCCATTATTGTAGCCTTTTACCATGGTTTTGCTGAAAACTGGAATCTGCTTCCAGATTTTGGCAAAACTGCACTCATACTGAGCCTTTGTTTCCTTAATGACTGCTGCTGCAAAAAAAGCCATAAAATGGGGTCAGTCACATGAACAACTATTTTTATGACCATTACGATATATCATTGCAATGAGCAGGCTCCATTATAGTCGTATGTTGAGGATTGCCTGTACCTAAGAAGGCAATCAGACTATTTTCTCTGCATTCACCCTGTTTAAATTTAAGTATTTATATCAATTGACTAGAATAATATAGTATTAGTTGTAACATCAATAGCTTCCTGAATCCAAATACCAGATATCTGATTAGTACAAATGTACCTGATATTATTGGATAGTTGTGTTACTATCTGGATGGTCCTAAAGCATTAAACATTTTACAAATAAGAGTAATATATGCATCATAAAATTATGCACAGACTTTCTATCTCAGTTCTGCATAGCAGGGCTGTGCAGCCACAGAAGCCACATGAGATTTGCTAAGTATTGATTGCTTTAATGGTTCAAGAAGAGGTGCTTCACTCAAGCTCTCTTGCTTGGAGAATTACCATTTTTATTCCTCCATTTCTAGCAACTGTCTCAGTTTTGAAATTCAGCTGTAAAATGGGAAAAAGAGTAACCATATCCTCACAGGGAGTTTTAAAGGGCACAAGGAAGAACTGCTTGACTGAGCAACCTTCAGTGAACAGATAATCTCAAAACTTTCCACTGCAACTGAATTACAAAATAACTATAGGGTTACCTATTAGGTGTATATTCCCCTTAGTCGACAGACCTGTGCAAGATTATAATTTTTAAGGGAAAAGGGTGCTTCAAATTCATTGGTCATGGACCAAGCATTGGCCCAAATTTCCTTAATATGTATTTTTTACATATGTAAAAATAGTTTTAATAAAATATGTTTTAATAAGTTCTTTACTAGTGCTACACTACACCTACTCCAAAGCCATCTTTACCCATTGAATCCAGCTAACTTATGGTGATGGGGAAGACCCACCTAGTAGGTAGTCCTATTTTTATAATGTTAAAATAAAGCTTAAAGGTCAATGCAAATTATACTTAATAACTTTAATATACAAATAAAACAATCTCAAGTAATCCTTGAGATGCTTTCAGCCATTGAATAGTCTTGAACATTATGTTCAAGTGTGGCTTTTCCTCATTTCAGTAGCTGATGTGGAAGAGAAGTAGTTCAGAGGGTGCAACAAATATCCAACACCAGAGTGTAGCCAGAGCTGCTGAGTTACCTATCATACAGACCAAAAGAGAAACTCACTTGAAAAAGATGGCCTTTCCTCTGGATTGGGTGCCCAAGCAGATTCCATTAAAGACACAATCAATTCTCGGTAAGGAATATCAAGGGGCAAAGTTTCTTCCCCAACATCTGGACGCTTCCCTCGTGACATGCTAAACATAATTTGCAAGTGATGTATAACATCTGCAAAAGTCAGTACATGCATGTGTTAGAAATATATGTGCATTTCTTCTAATTCTAGAAATTGGAACACAAGTAGTAAATTCACATTTTAAATTATATTATATTGTGATCTAAACCTAATTTAAAAATGTTAAATGCAAAATATATCACCTCCCCCTCCTACCAATATTCTGCAATACATGGTATTTTACTACAATACAATAGTACAATACAATGCAAGTTTAAGACAAAGGGGAAACAATGGTCTTTTAAAAAAATACTGTTTACGTTAATCTTACATTAAACTTAACAGGTTAGTCTATCTCAGCTATTCTTTAACAGAATTAGACAAAGACAAAAATCTGACCTTCGAATGGTTTTTTTCTTGACATCACTTCCCACATAATAATGGCATAACTGTTCCAAACAAAAATGCATGTTAGTATGTATTTTTTAAATTAGTTCATTTTTTCCCCAAGACAAAATAATTTCAGTAAAATGAAAATATCCCAGATTGTTGTTTTGTGGAAAATCTACATCCCACTCCAACAGCAAAGTAGGAGTATTATTATTCAAATATTTTCAGTGATTAGTTGGGACAAGTACCTTTGGTATCTTAAAAACACAGTAGTTTCTTTATATATACAGCATTTGTGTATATAAATAAATACATCATATAGACCTATTACACCTAATACAAATACAGGGATACTTTCTCAAATGTTATTTAAATATTAATTATATCAACTGCATTCTTGTATCAGTATCTATCCTGACCTACTAGAAATTAAGTAGAGTAAATTTTAGGTTTCCATGCTAATTCTCCTCTTATATAGCTGCAAAGGAAAGTTTGGAAGATTTCACATTTATTTTTTATTGAATACAGCCCCTTTTTAAATAAATTTAGCAAAACTTCCTTCCCTACAAGATATGCCATCTTAAAATCAGAAGCTGACTTCATTCAAGAACATAAGTTTACGATGAACCTTTTTAAAGCTTTTTTAAATTTGAAATGGAAGCAATGTTTTTGAAAATATGCAGTATTGAAAGAGAACACAAAGCAGAAGTTCTTTCAGTAAACCAGAGTTTATTGTGATAGCTGGATGCAGGCTCTTTGGATATGTACCATTGTTTATTGCTAATGTAAATACATGAAGCACTTGGAGCAGCCAAAGTCCTTAAGAAATCTGTAAACTCTATACCTTGACTTACATTGTTAATTAGTTAATACCCCTGTAAAATTTTCAGGTTAGCTTTTCACTAAATTAAAGATGCTTGACCTGCTTTAAGTAACTTGAAAAAGGGTTAAAATGTTCCTTTCAAGAAGCTAGAAATAATGAGTTTGAATTGACATTTTGTGATCCTATTTCACAATAATATACGTGTGTGTGTGTGTTATTTGAAACTTAGGGATGAATTAGATTTTCCAAGCATATGTATAATACAAAGCCTGAGAGAAGGTATGTATGAAAAAACTTGAATTATGCAAGCCATAACTGGACAGCAAAGTCATAATTGCTAACATAGGAACCCATCCTTAAATTGACTCCAGAGACACTTTAAACATTTAATGAAACTGACTTGCAAATACTAGATGCAAAAGTCCATTGATTTTGTTGACTCCCATTGAACAGAAAAAGAAAGGAAATATATCCCAAACAACACATAGCTGATTACAAAGACCACCAAGAAAACAAATCTTCCTAAAAAAATAAAGTGCTGACTTTAAGCTCGATAGAGAAGTGTCAAGTAATTCTGTGGAGACTGAGACACCAAAGTATACAACATTTTGGGCCTTTAATCTCATTGCATTTTTACATTGCACCGTCTGTAATGGCCGATATGGCTGCTTTTTTATATTTTATATTTTTAAAAAATAAGCACACATTGTTCCAAAACTCCATAATAGAATAACATACCTGTATATATCATGCTTTACACTTGAGCGGATTTTGCTGCCATCATAACATTCAGGTGGTATGTAAATGATGGTCCCTCCCTCAGATATTGATTTATCCCCTTTTGAAAGTGACATGGACACCATGCGCCACTTTGATAAACCAAAATCTGCAATCTGAAAGATGGAAAAGAAGCTTAGGCCACCATGTGCAGCTCAGAGACAAAGGTTTCTAGGTCCATTAAAATATATACTTTGGTCACAGAAGAGCAGAGTTCAAATTTACAAACAGTTTCATGCTTTATGTTATAAAACTAGAATCACGGTCATCACAGCCCTTCTAAAAGTTCTTACTCAGTAAGTAGCAATTTTTACTTCCCCCCTTAAGACAGAAATATGAGCAATGCAATTATCTACTAAGCCACAATATTGCTTTTCTGTGTATCAATTACACAAATGAGGAAGAAATTTGAAAGGATATTTAATAATTTGCAAACTTCTAAAAATATGGTATGTGGAAATAGGATGGAAACTGATCTCTGTTGAGATTCAAGAGAGGATTAGGAGTAATAGGTTAAAATTAAAAGAGAGGAGATTCACAATGAGTATTAGGAGGAATTTCCTGCTAAGAGCTGTTAAGCAGTGGAATAAAGGCCAGAACAATGGTGGACTCTCCTTGCAGGAGGTTTTCAAACAGTGGTTCAAGCTGCCTGTCAGGGTAGTTTAGTAGATTCCACTCATAATGAGCATGTAAAAAAGGGACAAGGGGTCAAGTTATGAAGTTGTACCTGCCATCTGCTGCAGGTGCCCCTGTACCTCACTGAGCAGGGGATTGGGCTAGATGACTATAAGGATCCACTCAAATAATAAAACTGGAAAAACTGCATTAAAAAAATAAACTACTTGAATATATAGCCAACTAAGATGATTTGTTTTTAAATTGGTAAATTCTTTAAATTGGTAAAGAATTTGGGAGTATTCTGTACAAATCTTACTGAAATAAAGTTGTGATTATAGCTTTCCCTTTTTTGTTTAAAAGGATTTAAAACTTTAGCAGCGGAACAGCTTCAAAAGACTTTTGATAACACTTGGCATAATTTTAGGAAGCTTTTAAAAATAGAACTTGGGACACTCCAAGTGTAAAATGCCCTTTTCTTATATAAAATGCCCTTCTCTTATGTAACATGCCCTTCTCTCTCTCTCTCTCTCTGAATTTTGTGCCACCCATCTCATCTAAGGGACTCTTTTCAACATTGATCTGTCTTATCTCTCTTATGTGCAAGATTTTTCTCTGTACTGTAAAGTTGCTACCCCTGATTTTTCCACTTCTTCTCTGTAGAAGAGCCCAGCCTTACCTTAACATGGAACTCACTGTCAAGTAAAATATTCTGGGTCTTCAAATCATGGTGCATGAGTGGAGGACTCAGGTTGTGAAGATAATTTACTCCCAAAGCGATTTCATACAAAATGCGATACCTGAGTGACCAAGCAATATCAGGATAGATGTTTTTCTATTTAGAAAAGAGAAAGAACACAACACATGATGATATAGCGAGACAAACTGGAATGTTCGAAAGAGCATCTTGAAACTAGCTGATCTACTAGCTAATGTATTTATTTATCGAATTCTAAAACTACCCATCTCCCATCTGGGTACAGTACAGATAAAATATTAAAATGTAAAAACATATAAAGTATATAAAATTCATAATAATAATAACAAAACAATAACAATACTACTACTACTACTACTACTATTGATGATGATGATGGAAGGGACCATGGAGGTCATCTAGTCAACCCCCTGCTCAGGCAGGAAACCCTATACCATGGGTGTCAAACTCGCAACGTCATGTGATGTGTTGTGATGCATCATGACTTTTTTTCCATTGCCGGCAATGGAGTGGGCGCGGTTTTGCCATGACACATTTGGCCCGTGGGCTGGCAGTTTGACACCCCTGCCCTATATCATTTCAGACAAATGGCTGTCCAGTCTCTTCTTTAAAAACTTCCAGTGTTGGAGCACTCACAGCTTCTGGAGGCAGGTTATTATTCCACTGATTAATTGTTCTGTCAGGAAATTGGTTAGTTTCCATCCGTTGCTTTTTGTCTTATCTTCAGGTGCTTTGGAGAATAGCTTGATTCTCTCTTCTTTGTAGCAACCCCTGAGATATTGGAACACTGCTATCATGTCCCCCCCCCCTTGTCTTTCTCTTCATTAAACTAGACATACCCAATTCCAGCAACCATTCCTTGTATGTTTTAGCTTCCAGTTCCCTAATCATCTTTGTTGCTCTTCTCTGTACTCTTTCTAGAGTCTCAACATCTTTTTTACATCGTGGTGACCAAAACTGGATGCAGTATTTCAAGTGTGGCCTTACCAAGGCATTGTAAAGTGGCATTAATACTTCACGTGATCTTGATTCTATCCCTCTGTTAACGCAGCCTAGCACTGTCTTAGCTTTTTTGGCAGCTGCAGCACACTGCTGGCTCATATTTAAGTGATTGTCCACTAGGACTTCAAGGTCCCTCTCACAGTTACTACTACTGAGCAAGGTACCACCTATACTATAGCTGTGCATATGTTTTTTCTTGCCTAAATGTAGAACCTTACTTTTTTCACCATTGAATTTCATTTTGTTATATAGCGCCAAATGTTCAAGTCTGTCAAGACCCTTCTGTATCTTAAGCCTGTCTTCTGGAGTGTTGGCTATTCCTGCCAGCTTGGTGTCATCTGCAAATTTGATGAGTTCCCCACTTTATCCCCTCGTCCAAATCGTTGATGAAGATGTTGAAGAGCACTGGGCCCAGAACAGAGCCCTGGTGCACCCCACTACAAACTTCCCTCCATGTAGATGCAGTTCCATTGAGGACCACATGCTGAGTACGGCCGGTCAGCCAGCTACGGATCCATCTGGTGGTGATGCTGTCTAACCCACATTTTTCTATCTTTTCTGTTTAAAATAGGCAAGGATGATTAAGATGTTAAAAGTTAATTTTAAAAGGTGGGGGGACCCTTTTCAGAGCACTAACCAGCCCCACAGCTGACTGCTCCGCTGTGAGCTCCAAGCAAAGCAACCGAGCCATGTTTTCAAACCTTTGCAAAAGGTCCACCTCATTTCTGGAGGGAGGATGGAGGGGGGCAACACAGAGAAGGCTCTTTTCTGGACCCCACCAGTCAGAATTCTTTAGCTGACAGGTTCACAATATACCTTCCCCGATTGACAGGATGGCCTGGCCTGTGTAATGGGCTATTATTAGGAGACTTGGTAGCAAGTATTGCAGACAAATTCTGCCTACAATCAGGAGTTTGATCCTGACTGGCTCAAGGTTGACTCAGCCCTCTCTTCTTCTGAGGTCAGTAAAATGAGACTCAAATTGTTTGGGCAATATGCTGTCATTGTAAAATGCCTACACAGTGTGGGATTCTGGTTTGCGTCGCGACAGATCAGGACACAGGAAGGCAGGACTCTACCTTCCATGCTCAATTTCTCCCTGCTGGGAGCTCTAAAAAGGGCCAAAAATCACCCCGAAGAGGCAATGAAGAAGAGGGGTTGCCTTGTTCATCACGGTCTTTCCGTTTGATCCAAGGAAAGCCCTCCAAACTGGCAGGTGAAAGACCAGCTACATTCCTGTGGCCGGCCATTAGCTGCTGACAACCGACAAAGAAGAAAGCACTACTTAATACATCGTAAACAGCATGTTTGGAACTGGGTGAGAATATTGATCCTTTCTTTACTATTTTACAACTGAATTTCCTGGGAAAGGCTCCCAAGAAACTAAAAACCTCCGAATGTAAACAGAAGCGGCATTTTAATCTTATGGGGGACAGAAACATACAATATTGAAGTGGAAGAAAAATAAAACTAGTTTCAACAAATTTGAGAACTGAGATAACTGTTAAGATTTTCTCTTTGAAAAAAACCACATTGAGGCGAAATATAAGAAATCAAGCCTTTGTTTTAAGAGTGGAAAATGGACTTTGAATGACATCTAGTGGTGCATTTATGTATAGCACTATATTTTGATTTGCTTGGTGATTCCTACCTTGGGAAAACAATTGCTGGTAATAAAGGAAAATATTTTGCCGTACTTATCATCCTGACCTTCTTGGATTATAAATACCTACTGAGCTTGGACTTTTTAACTTCAAGAGCTAGTGGGACAGAAAGCGACTTGGCAAAGAAAGAAAGTGAGAATCAGATTTAAAAAAACAGAAGATTTGACCTTTTAGAGGGGGCATTATATGTTTAAATACTTCTTTGAATAAGATTAAAAGAACGGAAGACTTTTAGATATAATTACACTGTTATAATGAAAGATATGATTTAGAATTAAGATAACATTTTCCCCTCTTTTTTGATATGGGAAATATGAAGATAAGAGGAAGATTGATTTGAATAAAACTTTCAGTTATATAAATGTAATTAATATTGAGAAAATCATGATTTATAAAAATATTTCAAATACTGATGGAAATTAAACTTTAACAAGAGCACGAAAAACAGGATACTGATTAATGAATTGATATTATTGATTTATGAATTGATATTATTATTTCCATCATATACAATATGATGAAGATGCTTATATCTAACACTATACATTAACAGTATCAAAAATTGCAATGGTGTAATGAAGGAAAAATGGGAAAAATATGGAGAAGAAAGGAGGATCAGGGGGAAAAATACTGGATTGTGTAGTATTGAACAGATTTATACTGAAGAAGTTAATGTTAAATATTTGAATCCAGACAACATGTTGTTTACTAAGCACTAAAGACTGTAATTTAATAAAACTTTTACAAAAAAAAAATAAAGTAAAAGGCCTAGACAGTGCTGTAAAGGACTATAGAGTGATACAGAAGTCTAAGTGCTATTACCATTGCTATTGTCAAGATAACCTGAAGAAATGTTCCTTAACACTTGGTGAAGGATTGACCCGAACTAGATAGCACCTTCATCTTTTACCAATTGCCCATAGTTTATTTATGTACACAATAATTAAAACTACACAATTAAAAATTAATAAAATTATACAACTAAAACTATTTTATATTCATTATAACAATATTTTGAATCTAATAAAGAAAACGTATAGGTTCTGGAGAATGGCTATATTCAGCAGCTTTTTAGAGGCTCTCTAAAAGCACTTATCACTCCATATCAATGCATGAAAATGGGGAACTTGTTCTCAAATTGCCCCCTTCTGGATTAAGACACAACATTGGTCAGAACATGTGATCCTCTTCTTTCTGAAGCATTAACTCAGTATTTCTCAACTTTAGCAATTACAAAAAATGTGCCCTTCAATTCCCAGAATTCCCCAGCAAGTATGAGTTCCTGAGACTGGTTCCCAAACATTTCCTTATTTTAAAATTAATATTACAGTTATTACAGTTGTTCACACTTACCTCATATAAAAGTTGGTTCAGTGATCCATTAGGCATATATTCTGTCACAATACCCAGAAACTGAGGTTCATTGCAAATTCCTAAAATTGGTAGAATGTAACTGAATCTTGCCTGATGTAAAATTTCAGCTTCTTTTAAGAGACTGTCTCTCTCACTACAAGAATAAATGGCAAAACAATAGTCAAATTTACTTATCTTCCAGATAATAGACTTAAAATATACACTGTGGAAAGACATGGTTAAAGAAAAAGAATAAAAAGCTTCTTTACATATTAATTTATTTACATGCGCCCATTCTTTTTGCATCTTTCACCAGCTGCTGAAGTCAAAATATACAGCTGTTTTCAATTCTATTCCCAGAATTTCTATTTTGAAGCTAGTTTTACTTTTGCTAGTCTTTCTGTGTAATATAGCAAATTATATTTTCTATAGCTTCATGGATTTTTACCTTAAAATCAGTCCTAGCAGGTTTCTTCAGACGTTAAGATAATTTAGAATTTTAAAGAGGGACCAAATCATAGCATGAATTTCTGCTTCCACTTTAGGTGTGAATAAAGGGTGCAGTTTGAAAATGTTAGCTTCTTATTTGTATTTCCATAATTATTCAACTACTGTATGTTTTATTAAAACAAACTGGTTGCAAACTAAATATGAATGCTCATAAAACCAGTTAGGGATAACTAGTTTTATTTGACATAATGCTGAAGAGTACCTACAAGATAGCTGCATCTTGTTTCTGTGATGAAAACTAAGTTTCTCTTCTTTGCAGGAACTAGCACCTTAGCTCTAATAAAGGCATCCAAATTCTAATTATCTTCTGATAGTCGTTTCACATCTCCAATTCATCTGATATGGTGACCATATCTGGGCTGCAAAATCTAGATCATGAATAAATTCAGCAAAGAGAACCATCTTTACTGCCTTCTACTGGTTGTTTGGATTTTTTCCAGTCTAGACATAATAGTATCAATCATACTACAAGGCAGCGTACAGGTGAGGTTGTGCCATTATGTAGTAGGGCAGCTGAGTATAATCCTCAAAACTAGACCTTTGTAATTCAGAAAACAAAAATATATACTGTTAAGACTCAAGACAAAGCAGTAATGCCTTTAGAACCATATGCATTAGGTTGAAGGATCACAGATGTTAAGGCTGTGCTGGAACTGTGCCAAAAATGCTAGTCTAGGAAATAATTACTATGATAAGAGTTGTGGTAAACAAAAAAGGAATCTTACACTCAAATTAAGGAAGTATTAAAATGGCATTTCTTACTCTAGACATAATAGTGTCTTTTAAAAATTGTAAAGGTACTGTACATCATTTACAAAAATATTTTCCCCAAAGGGAAATCCGTAAGTAGAGACTAGACTATGTATGATGATGCTTCAGAAATGCCTTAAGAAATCAGTATATGAGACACACCTTTTAATTTTGTACACCCACCTCATTTCCATAGATGGAATCTACAAATTTGGCCACTACCACAAAACCAAAACTTGTGTACAGTTGAAGAAAAAAGAAAGAATCACAGAAGTGAATCATTCCAAACTATAACATTCAGCATTACTGGCAGGGGAAGTAAGCCTTTTATTAACCAAAACCAAATTGTGAAAGTAAAAGTAAAGTCTTCCTTATCTGAATTAATGTTACCACTATTTTAATTTTCAAAATATTGCAAGCCAGTAATTAACTTGTTTGATTGAAGTTTTGATTCTTTTCAACAGAAGGCCGAAATATAGCCTGTATCAAGCATGAGAAATCAGGAAATCCAGGCAGTTCAAATGAATGTAAAGGTTTCTTGCAAGCTTAAGCTCTTTACAAGAATCTGAATTACTAATTGTCAAAGCAAATTGGCGAGAGATAAGAGTCAATGTAATTCAAGGTGGGCTGGACTTAGATCTCTTGTGGGCGCAAAGGGACTTGAAACTGATGACATGTTTGACCTCTCCCTCAGGCTCAGCCTGTCATCTCCCACAGCAGTTTTATATTCCCTAGTCTGTTTGGAGAATTTTTTGGGGAGAAACTCCAACTATGAGCAGATGTTTTGATTAAATTCATATAAACTACATGTCAATATCCAGTTCAAGAATCCAAATAAAACTCCAGGTTCATTCCATTTCCAAAATTCTTAGTTTATTGAATATACTGCATGGTAATGTCAAAGCAAAACTAACTCTGAGATTCCCAGACATTGAATTAAACAATAATTTCTCCAACCAAACCTCCAACCTCTCATGTAGTCCATGTAAACAATTTCACTTTGTTATGTGAACCGTCTGCTTTCTCTCCACACCTGCTATGGTGTCCTTGGAAAGGTTTCGAGCTCTTACAGTCTTCAGCGGAATCATAGAGGTTTTGTTTCTCCATCTAATCCATTCTAAAGCAACACCCCTCTCTTACTCTAATGGCAAGTTGAAACAAAGAGGCACGTAGTTGCCAAAGTTTCATTCCTGACACTACACTTATTTCCCCTCCCCTCTATGTGCGTGTGTGTGTAAACAAAATCTGGGCAATGTCCCAGTTTTTATCATCAGATTGTCCTAATTCCCCAACATTTATCAATGACCTTCTTATCCAGTCAATGTTTGAACTGGAATGAAACTTTTTGTTCATGTCATTTTTTTTTGAGATAGGCAGGTGAGCCTTTGCCCAGGGACCCTCATTGGTAAGATAGGTACCAGCCAGGAGTTGAACCCAGGTATCCCACATCAAAGGTGGCACTCTAACATATGTTGTACTATCTAGCCACTCACCAGAAGACAGCACTGATGATAGAGCAGTGCCAAGTAACAGCAATATCAAGAGAAAGAAGTATGAGAAGCTGGAGAAATACCAGGATTTGAAGGAGGAACGAGACAGCATTTGGAAAATAAAGGCCAAAGTAGTCCCAATGGTGCACTCGAGGAGCACTTGATACTATGACTCCTAAGCTGGCAGAGTAGCTCCAATACATCCTAGGAATAACATCAAAGTTTTCTGTCCAAAAGAATGCAGTGTTAAGGACAGATAAGATCCTGAGCAGAATCTTCAAACTCCCAGGCCGTTAGTAGAGTGACTGTGATTGAGGATAAGAAGGGAATTTTTATACATTTATCTAGAGCAGGGGTGTCAAACCCGCGGGCCGGTTTCATCATACCAGAGCCGCGCCCACCCCATTGCTGGCAATGGCAAAAAAGCTCCGATATGTCGTGCGACATCACGTGATGTCGCGAGTTTGACATGCCTGATCTAGAGAAAGAAAGCATGAGTGAGATAAATATATTCCCAAATGTATTCTTCTGGCAAGCAAACAAATTAGGTAAACAAAATTGGAAAATTTGAAATCTAACAAATTTGAATGTTGCTAGTGAAGAGGCTATTGAATGTAACCATTTATAGGCGAAGACTAAGAAACAATCAAGCCAATGAGTTGGATTTGAAGTGGGCTTTGTTTAATGCAAAGGGCATAATCCTGGAAACTGCAAAATATTATTCATTAGAATATTACAAACAAAAGCATGAGAAATTGACACACCAATCCATATAGAAAACTGCTGTTGGTTTTCTATGTTTCTAAGTTTGTAATTACATTTCAAGAGGGAGGCAATATTTCTCCTTTAGGAAGAGATACATTATCTGCTCCTCCCAAAAAGTCACATCTCACTGTCTGGAAAATGTCTAGAGTTCCCCTTTTGTAAATTTTACAACAGTCTTACTAGAAAAGAATGCATGAGTCACACACATGGTTGTCCTGTCATTTCTTCACAAAGGCTGGGACTATTCTCAGAATACAGCTTTGCTGTTAATAATTTATCAGAAAGCAAATAATCTTCCTAAAACTTCAAAACAAATAGACCCAATTCTTAGGTGCAGCCACCTAAACTATCTCTGAAGGCTATCACAAAGTGCAATTTTGAAAAGCAAAAAAAGTTAATGGGAATAATCATACATATTGTATTCTGATTAAATCTAGCTTATTTATTTGTTTTTAGTCTGCTGGTTGTTACTTACAAAATGCCCCCACTTAAATGTCAGAAAGTTACATGTGCCTTTTAAATAAGGCTATCATCCTTTCATAACTGGGTGGGAATTTGAAAGCCAGAGTGACTAGCACTTATTCTAAGGAGTGTTTAAATTTTCAGAAAGACAAACTCTCTTGAATCTGATGACTACATGAGCTCATCCAGGTGGTTTTCTTAACAATAAGACAAACATGAGTTGCCATTGCCCTTTCTCAGAATGATAAAAACAAAACCTTTCTAGTTCAGTTTTGTCTTGATAGTTTCCATATAGCAATTTGAAGAGCAGCAAGGTGCTGCTATCTGCACTTTCCCTCCAAAAACAAAAGCATGCCTGTTTTCAGCCTTCAGAATCCACCCCTCCCAATGCTTATTCCAGCAGGCTTCATTTTGGGGAAGGGTATAGGATTGGGAAAGCGAAAGAACAAAATGGGTGCTTTAGCTATTATATGGGCTTTAGGTGATTGCTTTAATACTTAAATATTTTCACTTTGCAATAAAAGAAGTCCTGCCTCTGCCCATTTTTTCATCACATGCTGCATTAAGAAAAAATTGCATACCTTCATAATTACTTTAGGGAATGCTTAATATTAGGGATCTGCAGTATTGTATTAAAGTCTGTTTAAATCGGCCCAGTACTAGCTCATGTGATCTTTCCTGCTTTATTTATATATTTAGAAAATGTATATCAGCTGCCCATTTTAAGTACATTTGCAAAAAAAAAAAAATCCACATAAAAGAAATCCAAAACTAGATAAAATTAAAATAATCCAAATATATTTAAAAAAACCTACAGGGTACCAAGTAACTTGCAAATGGGAAAGCATAATATCCGAAATCTAAAACCTAAGGAAAAAGCCAGATCGTAGCAGCCTTCTGATGGCCAAGAGAATAATTATCTTCTCAAAGCATAATTTGTGCTTGATTGATTTTAAATGAATTGATTCTTTTTCAATTCTTATTCTTTTCTTACTCAACTTATTCTTTTCTTACTACTCAATTCTTATTCAATACTTATTCTAACGCTTTTGTTTTTATTGGGGGAAAATATCATTATGTTACTCTCTACCTCCAATAAGTTTAAAGTAAAGAGATGGGACACCTACTAAAATAAAGAAGCACAGAGTTCTTCTCTGTGCATTGCTCATTTTCTTTT